ATGCATTTGTGGGCAGTTTTCAGTGGCTGGAAACTTCATGCTAGTTTTCAAGACTTTTTCCTTTTCATAGCAGTTTTTCTTTAGCTTTTCCTGGTGCAGATGCAATAAACAAGCATCTGAAAAGGCAAACATCAATACCAGCTTTAATCTACTGTTTTTAGTCCCACCTCCTTCCRTTGGAGGCACAGACCTGGCTGAGCAGGAAGAATGCTATTAGCTGGATAGTTACAAAGTCAATAGAAACCGAATTTTAAATGGATATCAAATCCTCCTTGTGATAAGGGACATGGAAGGCTGCATGCTCAGTGATCCATACTACTCCCTGCAAACCAGATCAGGGAGATTAGTCTTTCCTGGAGATTAGGTTTATTTGCTTTAATGCAAAGCAGTGAAAACAGTCCAGTGGAACACGTAGCTAAACAAAACCATTTTCTGAAACACATAGAATTAAATTGCTACAAAAGCTTACAAAATTACAGGTCTGATTTAAACTGACCAAAGCCAGACACCTCAGAAGCACACCCATAACTTCTTTACTTCAGGACAGGTACCGCAGGAAATTTCAGCCTGAAATCTTGTTAAATCCAAAAGAAAACAAAAAACAAAGCTCCTTCCCCAAATACATGCGCACACAACATAAATAGCAAATGCATAACAATTTATAAATTAGAATTAACACCTGCAAAACATTTGAAGGCCTGACTCAAGCTGATCAAAGCCAAAAATTCAGAGCAAACCAGTAATGCCTTTATATTATGTTGTGTAAAAAGCCCACAATCCATCAAATACGGAACGCTCAACCAATTGTGAGCAAAACCCCGAGTGTAACAATCAGATTTAATTTAATTCAGTAACTTTAAAGGTGGCAAAATTACTAAAGATGACCAATTGTACGCTAGAGTGGAGCTAAGGACCAAGATGACACCACAATGACCCAAATGACCCAATGACCCTTCAATTTGAGAGGTATCACTGTTCTCACTAACAGAAAGCCTCAAGATGCTGCCAAGGGCTCTGCCCAGCAATCCCTTTGAGAAATCAGAACTGAGACCTGCTGTGGTGTGCCAGTGAGCACCATGAATGCACAACCAGAATTTTACATGATGTCACCTCTCCAGGCCATCTGGAAAAGAAGAAATATTCTATAGTCAACGGCACGATCATTTTCCTTTCTATTGCTGAAGTACATTGCTAGCAAGCCTTTTAAAAATAGAAGGATTAAATAAACCTGAAATGTCATAGTGAGATTTCTAAAGCRAAAAATAATCTGCCATATTGTTGCAGCACATGGATGCTTTCAGTGTGAGATTGAGCCAGGCCATTTCTCACACGCAGGGAGTTCTTGCAAAATGCTTTTTCCCACACTCTCCCAGGGTTAATTTCTGCAATCCGTACTGGATACCAGAARACCTCAAAGTAGAATTCACTCCATGCCAGTGAAAGTTCATAGGTTTAGAGTTTGCTACTATGGAAACAGAGCTGTTTAGGTTGGAAAAAATCCCYAAGGTCATCGAGTCCAACTGTTAACCCAGCACTGCCAAGCCCAGCACTAAACCACGTCCCCAAGTACCAATTCTGCACGTCTTTGAAATTCCCCCAGGGATGGTGAGTCCATCTTCACTGGGAAGCCTGTCCCAGTGCTTGCCCACCCTTTAGGTGCAGGAACTTTTCATAATATCCCATCTAAACTTCCCTTGCTGCGATTTGAGTCCATTTCCCCTTGTCCTGTCACTTGTCACTTGGGAGAAAAGACCAACACAGCCCTTTCCACCACCTCTTTTCTGGGAGCTGTAGAGAGATGGTCCCCATGAGCCTCCTCCAGACTGAAAACCCCCAGTTCCTTCAGCTGCTGAGGTTCTCTGAGGCCTGGTTTTGGAAGCAGGAAAATCAGAGTTTTCRTTTAGAAGCCAGGGAGGTCACTGATGTGCAAAACTCCTGGCAAATGGCACATGGCTGCTGATARTTTTTGCTCAGAGAGGATTATCAAATGAGCTTTAGGTCATGGATAGCACGAATTCCAGGATAATCCTGCAGAGATTGTGTCTGTGATTACAGAAATAACAAAAATATACAAAAGAAATTCAATATTTCTGCAAACATTTAAATGGAGGCARACTCAAACTTGCTCTCTCCAAGCTGTAGAGATAATTAAGCATCAATTTGCTCTGATGCAGAACCCTCATATCTATGATAGCTGGAGGTGCCCATCCACACCAGCAAGCTCTGGCATGGAAAATCATTCAATCTGTAACCTGATTCCAAGGAAGGGACAATTGGGCATCATGGGCCATTTATCAGCAAAGCTTTGACCCAACCCAGCACTTATGATCTGGCTCTTGATTTCCTTTTCATGGCTTAGATTGCTTATTTATCATCCTCTTCAAGAAAAGCAGGGCAGTTTTTTCCCTTCTCTTTGCTTAAACAAAAATCTCTGTGGTTTCAATTTTGGTTCTGCTGTTCCAGCCCAAAGCCCCAAGCATAGTTTTCAAGCATGGCAGGAGAAAGTTTATTTGTGCTGGGATACTTTTCTAATCAAAAGTGTAAATCCAGCATGAACCATATCTTTCCATCAGTAAGACTTCAATAACCGTAATTTTTTCAATATTCTTGATTTTGTGTCACCTGTCTTCATTTTACTTCTACATCTGTGCATATTATTTACATAATACACTGCAACAAAACACCCATGACTGAGCCAGTGGATGTGAAAACACAGCTCCTCAAATCCTCCCCAATAAATGCTGCACCCTGCCTCACATCTGAGCCCCAGGTGCCACCCTGAGCTTCAGTTTTTAATCTGCTAGTAAAAGTCAAAGCACATTTTTGGCCTATAGGGCYTATACAGAGAAAAGGAGGAGGATGTTCTGCCCAGAATTTTGTTGTATTTTGACATTCACGCTCCCTAAACATAAATTATTAATGTTCAAATAGATCATCCTTTTTACAAGTCTGTTCCAGCAACTGCCTGATTACATACAGGTTTCTCTCCTGCCTCTAACTTGCCCCTCTGCAGAAATCAGACATCCATCCCAGGTCTCACAGCCTCCACAACCTCTGGATATCTGCACTTTTGCCCTCGTTCTCACCTKTGTGATGTTTCCCAGCTTTTTTTATTGCTCCTGTCTGCAGCTGAACTACCTGCAGCTCTTTTTCTGGGGTTTTTCAAGGTCTCCAATGCTTCCTTCTGATGTCAACACCTGGACTTTTCCAAAGCCAGTGCTATGGAGAATTCAACTCCCTTGTTTGGTTGAAACTGGCTAATTTATAACAAGACTGGAAGGCAGAGGGGAAGACAGACAGGAATCCTCATTAAAACCAAATGCCTAAAATTCCTTACACCCATTGCATGTGRCAACTCATTTTAAAGAAACAGATAAAATTAACAACCATTGTCAATATTTATGTGCTGCCTATACTGAGGTCTAAAGGCTGAACTCTAGCACTCATTTTTTTAACAAAGAAGACATTATGTTTGTTTGTATTTTCCATCAGACTTAAAGCTGATAAGACACTGATGTTTTCAGTTGTAACCAAGTAGGGTTTTTATTAAGGAAAGGAATTTTCAGGTTCTCACACCCAGCCAGTAGTCTGGGGGTGCACAAAGAGCTGGGAGGGGACACAGACAGGACAGGTGACCCCACTGACCAAAGGGATATYCCATTYCATATGGCAYCACTCTCAGTGTATAAACTGGGGGGATATTATATTATGCATTGCACATAAACATTTTATCATGATTATTATMATTATTTCAATTTTCTTTCTTTTCTCCGCTATTAAATTGCCCTAATATCAATTTATGCATTTTCTCASCCTCTCCCTTTTGCTTATCTCCCTGATGCTGCCAGGAGGAGCAGTGAGGAAGCTCCTGTGACAACTCAGCTCTGGCTGGGGTCAAACCCTGATAAATGTGCACAGAACATTTTGAGAGAAATAAATACCAACCCCTGAGCTGATACTGTGGAGCACTGGGAAAAGCACCAGGCCTGGGTGATCTTGCCCTGACCCTGACACAGAAGTGTGGCCATAAAGATGTAAGAAAACCCTCGGGGAGAACAGGGTCTCATCAACAATCAACTGACCTGAGAGTGCTTTCATGGAACGGGAAATGCTGCAGGAGCCCATCCCTGTGCCTCTCTCCTCCCCAGGAAATTCCACTTCACCCACAGAATCCTGAAAATCTGCAGCGATACTGAAAACACTGATGCAACCCGAGCTAGCTCAGTACTAGTGGGGCTAACTATTAAAATCTTATGAAAAACATAATAAAGCTTTTTTTTTTTCTTTTTTTTCCTTTTTTTTTTTTTAATTTTTATGCACTAACCACAGAAGAAGGCAATTTATCAAAACCAGTCACCACATCTGACTAATAGTTTTGTACATTACAGGAATCCACTAGTAACTGATGAAAGCTGATAAGCTGTAAACGATTTCTCTTCTTGTAAATATTGCAAAGTGTCCAGCAGTGCTGGTAATACTGCGGCAATAAAATCAATTTTTTAAAAAATGAAAGGAAAGCTAAAAGCATTTCAGAAGTGCGGGGAGGGGAGAAAAGGCTTTTCACTGTTTTTCACATTTATTTTGCTTTCCTTCCTTCCTTTCTCTGGAATAATGCAGCTCAGTTGTTACAGGCTGCAATCTGGTGGGATGGCAATGTTTAAAACAGCATTTTTCCTAATTACAGCCTAAATGGCAGAGCCCTAAAGGAACAGCAAGGTGCTGGGGAAGGTTATCAACTCAGCTCAGGGCATTCTGCCCCTCAAATCAGAGCTGAACTTATGTACCATTAGAATATCAGGCGACAGAGAGCTTCTGTTTCAGCCAAACTACAGCTCAGAGGAAATGGATGGGAGATCCTTGCGAGATGCCAGGGAGACCCTAAGGAAAAATASGAATCCACAACAGCCAGGAACAACCCCAACAAAATCTCTGACAAAGCAGAGCAGAACAGCACCTGAGTGCTGCTCTCTAAAGCTTTTGTGTCCATCTCCCCCTTGCAGAGCAAACCTTGGAAATCACGGGTTTGGAGAAYGGGGGCCTCTGCGATGTCCRTGCCTCGGGCTGTGCCAGGATCCGYGTGTTTGGCCAGGGATTCACGGACTCTCCCAGCCTGCACTGCCAGCTCACCAGGTTAATCGTAAGCAGCTTCCTGCCAGACCCTAAAATATTGATGATACAATCAAACTTTGACATGCTTCTATAAAAATCTTTTACTCTGACCCATTCTATCCCCTCTCGCTGCCACAGTGGGTTACAAACGCATTCCAAGCTCTCTGCCAATGTGTGTGCTGCAAGTGAGGGAAGCTGAAAAGGCTCAGATTTTCCAGGACTGGTTCCCTGGAAATGCCCAGCTATGAGTTCTTGCTCTTTTTCTCTGTGAAGTTTTGTTTGACTCCTGTTTGGTTCAGCTGCACTGCAGTCCACTGAAGCCTGAAATCACAATATTATTTCCCATTTTGTGCATCTGGAATCACTACCCTTGGTTGTTTTCCTAAACACATTTAAATGCTAAGTTTTGTGGTTGAATATAAGGTTTCCTCAACACAGTTATGCAGAGGCTCTAATTTGAATTTTCTTAGTCATAGCTCAACATCAAATCAGAAGTTTTGATGAGCATCAAACCCATCTCTTATGCCAGCACTGTAATTTTATCATAAACATCTATACACAGGCAATGCTGCAACTGAGTTATTTGGTGGATCAGCATCCTCAGATATGAAACATTTGATTAAACTCATAAATCCACCTCAGAGCAGACAGTCAGCCTGACTCCCATCAGCGCTGGCACGCTCACAAGGCACAGCTGAGATTTTCTGTGCCTGCTTAGGGCTCTGTAGGCTCTTCTCAAGCTGGAATCTTTTTGTGCAGCTGATCCAGAGGAGTTGCTCAACACCTTCAAGGAAGCACGAGCTGGCTGCTGAATTACAGGAGCAAACACAAAGTTTCTCTAGCTTCTCTAGACAATCCCAGCTGCTTGTCCCAAATGCAGACCACAACACCTCCTAAATCAATAAACCACCTGCATGCATGGCTAAGCATGGATTCCCCTTTACTGAATCTATAGTAACAGCATGAATCCTTTATTCCGTGAAATAAACCACCCAGGAATGYCCTATGTTATTGATTAGAAATATAAACATACATTGACAACTGGAATTTCTTTACACGAGCCCTCAGTTTCTGCATTCTCCCTCCATTTCACTGCAGCGTCTTGATAGGGAATGGATATCACGAGAACAAGAAAGCACAAAAGCAGATTTTCTGAGCTCTGAGGCTGTTGACTGCCAGATCCCACTCCTGAACATCACAGAGGCCGTGAACTTYGTGGCCAGTGACGAGCCGTTTGCACGATGGCAAGTGAAAGTAGGAATTGTATTATGTTTCTAAGAAATGTTTTAGGAGAAAAATCAGTTGTCATGGCAAATTAAAATGCAAAGCACAATTTGCTTCCTTCCAGAAATGAAAATGCCTGCAGAAATA